GTCTGTCGAACCGGTCATCGATGAGCTGTGCATTTCTGCAGGACTGGAATTCCGCCGACGACCACCGGTTGCTGTTCTAAATGTCGCTACTTCGGAGGATGCAACTGGACTTAACGCCTGTAGATATAGTTCCCCGGCAGATGAGCTGAATGTGAATTTTTGAATGCATAGACCCATTGCGAAGTTCGCCAACCTGGGGAAACGAATTATCCTCGGATCGACGTTCAATGACAAAAGAAATATAATATGGTTATTATATTATATGTATATAGGTACCTACATCAATAGTTTCTATTGTGCTTATCAAGTATGGCTGTATTTAAGTTTTCTATATTTCATCACACTGTCCTGATAACACTGATCAGTTTGTTTCCCCGATATGACATAATAAAAATCAACTTTTTTTTTAATTTAAAAAATTAGGTACCCTACAATCTATACAGTACAGTATAATGAGTAAATTTTATAAATAAAGGTGGCCGTATAAAAAAGTGTAGCTTAATACTGCATATACATGTGATTTCTCATTGTTCAATTCAATTCTTGACCACCTTATACGCATTTGTATAATAATCCTATTAATATTATAAATGCGAAAGTCTGTGACTTTATTACTCTTTCACGTAAAAACTACTGAATGGATTTTAATGAAACTTTACAATAATATAGCTTATACATCAGAATAAGACATAGGCTACAAATCATCACCCTAGGTCCAATCAGGGGATGTGCTCAAACGAGGATTTAGAGATTTACGGTGGAAATTTTTGTTTATAAATGGTTGCCATGGGTTTTAAAACTATTATAAACTATTAATGGTTGCCGTGAAATAAGTGTATTCGTTCAATGCATTTAATTTTTTTGTACGCTGTGTTATGTATCACAATTACATAAATATTGAGCGTATTATCACGTATTATACTCACCTATAAGTTACGTACATGGTACATAAAACAATCACTATTCCACGTATTCGTGGACGAGAAGGAAATATTGGCCGACAGACTCGACATTTACAATTAGTCCAACCGTTTAGGAGAAATTCAGTAACATACTTGGTATAACTTTGATACTTTAGAGTTAAATTATAAAGTTACGTACAAATATCCCCGGGTCCGCGATCTAAAACAGGTAGATTGCCTACCTGATAATATAGGTACTGCTGCGAATCAGAATTTTTATTCCGGGCAACGGAAAAGTTAAGATAAATTTTTAACACCATACACTGAATATTAAATAACGAATTGAACAAGGTTTGAGTCATATAGAGTTGATACATTTAACGGGTAACGAAGTACACGGGATCAGCTAGTAATTAATAAAAATAATAATATTTAAATAAGTAAGGTGTAAGTATAAGCTATATAAGCTATAAGTAAGTAATAGGTACCTATTAAATCTTTATTGGAAGACGTTATATATAGACTACTAAATGTACACAACAGCTATCTGTATATTATCTGTAGATTTTTCCAACAACTAACTTCAGAAGACATTTGGCTTTGGAAACGGTATAAGACCTTAGGTAAACCGTTTTGAATCGAAACAAAGAAAAACCTCGTGTGCTGGAAGACGAGAAAGAGACAGAAGAATGCGATAGAGGGCAGAAATGCAAGACGATTGACATTTGATCCAGTGCAGTATGACTGTTATGAAATGTGAGAGGAGCGACCTCTGCGGAAAATTCAATGACGTTTTTATTAAACTAATTATTTTCTATCAGCTACTAGTTATTAGGAAAGAAATCTGACACGGCTGGCTGACACAAAGAAGAAGAAGAAGAAGAAGAAATAATGGGACTGCAGTTGTAGATCTCGATAGTTTTTAAATTCTATTTACAATATATACCCGTGATTTGAGAGTGTGCAGCATGTGCATCCCACGATGTCATTTAACTAGAACATCCCTAAGTAGTATTATGAATTTTATGATGCAGTATCAGTGGCGTGGCGAAGTGAAATTTTTTTTTTTGAATGACCTATCTGGTGAGCTACCACCCCTTGACTACTTAATATAATACCTATTATTTAACTTATTATTTTTATTAAATATCATATTCAGATGAAGTTGGTCTTGTGCTATAATTTCTCACTAAATTCAGTACTCACCCACCCACCCATTTAAAATTATAGGTCAACTGCCCTTCAAAATCAAGGTCAACACGCCACTGTGACTGTGCAGTATACTTACGGTTAATTTACATATTATTATATAAGTGACAAGTAGAAATATGTATATAATATGATAAGTTTGGTTTGTGTAATCGAAGATTTTTATTTCTTTCATTAATTTCTATATACATAACGCAATATAATATAGGAAGTATGTTTTTACAAAATACATCACAGTACAAACGTTTACAGCTGCACATCTTATAATAATATATTAAACAATAAACACGATACATTTATATAAGTATACGAAACGCGCGTCTCTTCAAAATATGCGGAAGAGGAAAATGTATCAGTACTATATTATAGTAAGCGCAGTGGCGGATGTCGGGGGAGGCTGTAATTGGTGGACCCCCCCCCTTGGGCCTTTCGCCACCACATGTGGACCACCCCATGGGAGTGGTTGAACGTCATTCCCTCTGAGGATTTGAAATTCCCCCCCCCTCAGAACTAGGATATATCCGCCACTGAGTAAGCGAAATTCTAACATCCACATGACATTATACGATTAATTCACGACCACGTGTTACAACGATTATTATAAAGTACACGATATCAAGTTTATATTATTTCGTACTAGGGAGAAACTCTGGGACGTCGTCAATTGGAATTTTGTGGTTCTCTACGTATTTCACCAACCACCGTAATGTGGACAACATAACATACCTATAATTTGTGGGTATATTTCTACTTTACTGGACACTTTTCTTTTGCAAATTTTTCTTTTCGAAACTGATGTAGTTAAGTACACTGAAATCGATAGTGAAGTCAGAATTTGGAGCTCGGGCATAGTTTCGAAATTACGATACTTCAAAGTTGGTGTATAAAGAGTAGGGAAAATGATAAGTTGAGGTGGTGTTGCAAAGCAAGTCGAGGGATATTTTCGAATTTTTCATCCGAGCGCGGCTCATCACTAAGCTCTAAAAAGGGTGTTCCGTAAAGTAGAAAAGGTCCAATTAGTGTTTTGCAGCAGTCCGTCTCGATCTCAGATATAGTATTATTAAATGTATTATCGTCATCGCTGGATGGTCTATCTTTATACATCGCCACGACACCTGTCCGCGATGATCTACGCGAAATCAAAGTCTCGAGTCGCTCGATCGTATAGGTAGGTACAGGTACATATAAATAATATATAATAATACAATAAATTATAACATCTTTAGTGTTCCGTTTAACACGTTCGTGCGTATGTGCGTGTAGGTTATAAACGATATATGTATACAATACATATTATATACGTAGCGACGAGTCCTCAGTGGACAGTGGTGCACATGTATTGTATATATTATTATAAATATGAAATAGGTATGATATCCACGTTGGCGGCGGCGGCGGCGGCGGAGGCGGTGCGTCGCCTCTACTGGTACGATGTAGGTATCATATTATATAGTGACTAGAAACGAAATTTGAAAGCTATCGTCGTCTGTATAATATTATGTTAAAAATATAATACGTATATACGCCGCAGCAGTCTGAAATCAATAATAAATAAAATCTATAAATAGTTTATTAAAACGTCAGCTGTCTAAATTCTAGAAGTCATCCGTATATTATATTAATTTATATAATCTGGTCTGGTGTGGCTCAATGGTTGGCCTCAGTCACTAACGTGTTCTGAGGTCAAGCATCAGCCAGCGTCACTAGTGTAACGAACATGTCGTCATCGACATCGTACATTACTCCCTACGTCTAGCAAGGCTAGTATGCCGAGTAAGGAAAAATATGAAATATATATTATGCATTTATGCTGACGCGATGTTTAGCTGACATCGCGTCAATAACCGACCAGAACTCCTGGCGAAAAAGAGTGAAGTGTCATAGTGAATGGTCGACAGTGGAAGTCGAGAGCGGACAACGACCCAAAGAGGACCTGTGGACGGCCAGCTCACCCACCTCGGATAGCAGCACCCGCGACAAGTCGACACCACATAGCTCCACCAGTGACCCTCAGTGATGCTAATCTATAAGTATACCTATCTAATAACTATTATTTAATGTTCTTATATTGTAAGATTTGATTTTAATAACAGTTACAAAATTATATATATACTTGAGTACTTGTTTTACATAAAGTAACCCTGATCCCTAGCAATAATGTCACACACCGAGGTCGAGTTTCCGAGACCTCGTTAATATAAACAGAACTACACCGAGGGGTGCGACCCCCAGGTGAAGAGGAGACGTTACAGTTGGTGGAGGCTATCCGAGGTGGGTGAGCTGGCCGTCCACAGGTTCCACTTTTCACATCACTTGTTCCACAGATTTCCACAGAGGTTTGGGTCGTTGTCCGCTCTCGACTTCCACTGTCGACCATTCACTATGACACTTCACTCTTTTTCGCCAGGAGTTCTGGTCGGTTATTGACGCGATGTCAGCTAAACATCGCGTCAGCATAAATGCATAATATATATTTCATATTTTTCCTTACTCGGCATACTAGCCTTGCTAGACGTAGGGAGTAATGTACGATGTCGATGACGACATGTTCGTTATACTAGTTCCCGGATGGGTGACCACCCGGGTTTTATATAGTAACGAATTCTCGCCCCCACATACACATGTTCCTCGACCAACGGTAACCAGAATGCTAATGGCCATCGTATTGCCGACTCTTGAGATCGATAAAAAAAATAAATATATATTTCATAAAAAATGTATTCACACGAAATCGTCGCCACCCGTCGACTTTACATTTATATAGGAAATCCGATGCCACTCAATGCACCACTGACGTGTAACTATATATGCTAAGACCATAATATATAAATATATTACATACACACACATATACATAAGACATATTAAGCGTGTACATACCGTCGTCTTTCAGAACAACATGTTCTGGAACCATCTCCACGGACTCGTCTTGCAAAGAGCCTTCTGTGTAGGGCACCCGAAACGTCTCAAGCACATGGCCAGCTTTTGGTCACACTCGCACAACCGCTGACTGCATCCACCTCCCAATGCTGTATACAAGCGGCAACAGTAATAAGAGAGAAGATATTATATCGGGGTTGTGCAACAGGTAAATTTATAGTAGGACGAATTATCGTTAGATAAAATCATAGTATCAAAATCTTATATTTATGCATAAATATTACAAATATATGGTATCTATAACTGCCACCTGAGATAGAAATTGTAGCAATATATAAATATAATATTTGGATCATCGCTTAGTTTACTTTATTATTAGCATAGGTATGACATAATATCCCGGCGTGGCCGCGTGGGTGTTTAGTTAACTTATTAATATTTATTGATATGTATTTATTAGTGATACAAATAAACTAATATTAGTATTGACATTTCCTATGTAAGAGGAAGAAAAATATTAGTCACTAAATTGTGTTTTTAAGAATGAGATGTACATTTTTTCATCACGTAATTGGTATCTAGAACTTGATCACGTTTGAGTTCAGATGTTTTATCTATATAAAGATGTAAGAAAAATTAACCGAGCACAACTCTGGATATTTGGTAGGTATATAATGATATAATATGATAGTATAACAATAATACATTAAAAGGCATATGTCATTCAAATTATATATGCAAGTATATCGAGATTCGAGGGCGTTCAACTTCAACTTGAAAGCTACATCGACTACCATCAGGGAATTTTTTTCAATTCGAGTTTTTAGTTTTTTATTCCTTATAATATAATACTTTTTTTAAAACCATACATTTTGGATCACATTGCATTAGTCGAGAAAAAAGTCACAATCAATATTTTGTTTCACGCTGCGTCGTTGCAGTTGTGTCATTTCAGTTTTTATAGATTAGGCCAACTTTTCACTGCTTATCCGACTCAACATTTTTTTCACTCAGATTCTCATAGCGTAGTGCCATAGTGGGTGAGGGGAGGAGGTGGTAAATATGGCGACTTAAGGTCGATTTAAATACTAGACTGGGGCAAATGCCCCAGCCCCCCCCCCAAATGACACAACGACGTCGCTGGTACTTTTTGTTGGAACGTCTATACAATAAAAATATAAGGAATCGATAAAAGAAAATTGCATGGATGTAGGATCTCATTCGAGATCCACTGATTTTTCTTTCGCCACCTCGCACCTTGTTTTTCTGGTGTTGGGAGGGGCAAAAATAACGTTCAGCCCCTTTGAATAATACCTTGGGGAGGCACCTCATGATCTAAATTAACATATTATTATTATTATATACCTGGGGTACTGGGGTAATGTTACGTATAACCAGTGTTGTAAAGTATTTGAGTAAAAGTATTCAAATACTTTTTTCCGTATTGAATACTTTTTCAAATACTTTTATTTTTGAAGTATTTGAACGGTATTTTAAATACATTTTTTTACTATTGAATACTATTTTATTGAATACTTTTTTTATTCCTTCAACTTTTTATTCATTGTCAAAAAATAATGTCTTAAATATATAATATATTTAATTTATGAACAATCTATATTGGTTTTAGTTTCGTCTATTATGACTATATATTAGACTCTGAGAAACCTCGTTATCGTCGCACCACGACGATCGAGGTACGTTCGTACCTACACTAATAAGCGAAATAAATACGAACATTGGTAGTAAGGTATGTCGTATACGTATTTTTTTGTTTGTTTTGAAAAATATTTCAAAGACTTCAAAGTATTTGAGTAATACTCAAATACTTACAATAGATAGTATTTGGTATTTTAATACTTATTTTAAGTATTGAGTAAACTCAAATACTTTTAAAAGTATTTTTCTACACGTATAACTTATATATTCTATAATATGCCTTACACGAAACCATGACCGGTGTGTGCTGTGCAGGCTGATGATATGTCAACCATTCTCTGCAACAAATACGTGGGATATAAATCGAGGAAATGTCGAAAGAAAAGCATTGAAAAAATAAATAGATTAAACGGAACGATCTACATAAGACTCGTGAGCCGATTTCTGAGCTTGACGTCGACTTTGGCAGTATACCTTTTTTATTATAATATTCTGCAAAAAAAGCTTTTTAGCGTTGTTTTTACGTAAATTGCAAAACTGCACGCATTATATTCGGTTTGAATATTAACCATTAAGCTCATTATTGCTATTCTTTTACTCAAGACCCTACATAGATACTATTATGGACAATGAGAATAGACGGTATTATTATATGATCCACATTCTACGCATTCGATTTTTACTTTAGAACAATAACGAGACGAGTATATTGTATATAATATATTATAAATTATAATACATAGGTAAGGGTGTTGGGTTATACGGATAGATCGAGGGGTTATTATGTATAGTGTTATTGTGTGTACCTATACATTTTTTGTGGTGAAAATAATGATTACTTTGAATTATTGCGTTATTATAATTATTGTGCACTTTTCTACAGGACAACGAACTTTGTTTGTCACAGCATAGTTTATCCTTTTGTTGCATAATCTGCACAGTTATTTATAATATATACCGAATGATTCGTTTAACGTAAACACTCATTATTTCAAAAACTATAGATTAAGCGTATTTGAGAACATTTTTCACATTATTTTAAAAAACACATATTTTTTAAAAAAAAATGTATAATTTTTATTTTTTTAACGAGAATATGCATTTTTTAATTCCTTATTCCAGAGAAGAATATTTATTTTGAATAGGTACTTTGTGATTCACAAAAATCAAATTATGTACCATAGTAGATTATGAGTTAGAATATTTAAAGTGTCAACGAGCGGAGTGAAGTGGTACGGGCCACGGGGTACCTCGACAAATGTTAGACGACTACAACTCAACTCGACTAATATGTAAATACTTAAAGATAATTAATTCTTGGAACTGATTGACCAAAATTTGTTTTTCAGATCGAAATACTCCAAATCATATTCTGGTGCAGAATATGAAGTTAAAAATAGATGTTGTCATTGAAAAGGGGAAACACTTAAAAATGATAACGAAAAAAATAGTAAAAATATAATTTTTTTTCCATTAATGTTGTTTCGTGGTTAGGTACTTTAAATTATGTAAAATAAATATTTTCAAAAACGTTCAGTTTTGTCTGTAATAATGAGTACCTTACGTTATATATGGTTATATGGATCACTCCGTATACACAATATTATTTATACAATTGCTGAGAAGTGATAATATATAATTATTATAATAGCTGGTAAACATAATACCTACATATTACTGTATTGTTTCGTAAACGTATTTTATTTGTCGCCGTTTCTCCCTTTTTGGACACAATTTTGCAAAACTTGTTTTTATTATAAGCTGTATACTAGGTTATACTTCCACTGTTTTATCCTAAGGTTTTTAATGGTATTCAATAATACTTTAATTTTTCGATCGTTATTGTTGTATTGTTGTATTGTTACAGATTCAACTGTACTATAGGTTAATAGCTTAATAATTAATAATATTATTACTAACAGTTCCCTTTCAAATCGCACATATCTTTGGCCTTATATATTCGATAATATTATAGGTAGAGAGAATAATACACTCGTATTCCAACTTCCAATTGAACTGAATAATATCATTTTTACCGACCAAACTTTATACTTACTATTTAATGATTCTTGAGTCATTCGCCGATTTACTAGTGGTTCATTATTAGGTCCATACTATAGTTATATTAACCGTGTATAATATATTATTGTACGACTTGTATACGACTTTATGTAATATTACATTTGCAGTGATGACGATGATTAAAATGATGACAATATTATATATTATTGTGTTTTGATATTTTGATATTTTGGAATTGTTCAATACACTTCGTATATTTCCTCAAGATAGAGTAAGGGGATCTTTTCCGTTATAAGTATACCATTTCCTACTCTACGGGACACCTTTTTTGGGGAGGGACGTCACTACGTCACTCCGTGAGCTCGAACGCCTCGAACAAAAAAATCGAAAATATCCCTTGACTTGCTATATGCAAGTATGCAACACCACCTCAAGTTGGTCACAGAGTATTAGGGTAACCACCATATATCCACTCTTAATACATATTATACGTATACCAATATTTAAATTGAATAGTAGTTAATAGTTATAAAATTAAAGTCATTATTAAGAGTGGATATACAGCGGTTACCCTGTGACCAACTTTGGGCGGTGTTTCATAGCAAGCAGAGGGATATTTTGATTTTTTTGAGAGCGAGCGAGTGGCAATGTGGGCATCACTGACGTGGTATACGGGTATACGTGGTATAACGGAAAAGATCCGAATAAAGGTGGGTATCCACTATACACGTTTGCCGTGTACACCAAAAATGTTCAGCTATGTCCAACAACACGGTATCATGGTTAATCGTGTGGTAACTTAACCTAACCAACCAATCACAGCAAAGGATTGTTTAATTGTGTATACATGTACGTGTATTGTGGAAACCCGCCTTAAGGCCCAGAGATTTTCAATTTTTATAATATAGCAGGAGGTATACTAATATTGTTATTTTGTTTCTTCAAACCGACGTTTTGCTGTGATAGTGCCTACAATTAACCTTTATATTATACTAATAACATAATAATATGATAAAACATTATTTAAATTATAATTATTATTCGAAGGGTAAATAATAAATATACTGTTTTGAATTAATCTTATAACCATGGAAATCGTTTTAATTGTTCTCTTGTAAACGCTTGTAATAGACGCTGGTTGTGATATTACATGACGTTATGTATATATTTTAGGCAGTTTCGTGCCGTTTAAACGAGATTTTATTTCATTACAACGATTCACGTTTTATTACGATTTATTATTATCCTGCCCTATAATATTATATTTTCTTTATCGCCGATATGGCCAACTATAAATTACAATATAATAAACAGTTTATTAGAAAAAACAAAAAAGACTTTACTATTAACTCTTTTCCGTGGTATGGACACTCTGTGTCCTATAATAAATCAATAGATTGTTGTTATTGCAATACATATAATATAATAATATACTAGTGGCAGTACCTGGCTTTAAAAATATGTACTTATCACAATGCAGCAAACACGATTTCTATATTATAGGTACCCATAATATAAAAGTAACCGTTTTATTCGTATAATATAGTATTGTTTTAAATTTACCGGTCATACGATCGTCTTATATACGTTTGGGTCCCCGGCTGTATAATTATTATTGTTACGATAAAATACTCACGATGGTATATTATCTTTTGTTAACGGTGTACTTACAACACAATGGTTTCTTGTTGTAGCACGTCCAGACGTACGGCGTAAAGTATTCGAGGAACATTGGGCAATCGGCACTGTCGTAGCACCAGTCGTGCATTTTGCAGCAGCTAAAAATTGTCCGGAAACAACAGAAGAAAACAATATGAGTGCATATTAGTCGTCGTCTAACGGACAGATTTATAATGGGTTTATATTAACTTGTCTATGGGATCAACAGGTGATCCAGAACCCAGGAACCCGCAGTAACAGCCGTAGCCGAGGTAAGAAATCGGATTGCAACCTGTGGCGCACACGACCATGTTGTACAGCTGATACACACTCCTTTTGGGTCTAAGACAAAAAAATTCAAACACGTACACGTGGCACATTAAAAACAAAAATATTAGAATACCGAGCTGACCTTCTAAATATATTATATGATTGTAATTGTATAGGTAATTAGAGCAAGGACTCTCGTGCAGCATTTCCATAATATGTCTGTCGGTTGATTATGCGTCTTGTATAAGACTATATAAGGTAGGTATAATACGATCGGTGTTATGCACACGAAATATTATGTTTCACAGCGTTTTCATTACACTTATAGTTTTGTTATGCATGTATAATATGTCGTGGTGATTGTTTTATCTTGAAACCGACAATATCTTATAATAAATAAGCTCTGATAAAAATATTTGGAATAAGAAAAAAATAAGATAGGTTAGAGATATTTATTATAATATTTAATGTAGTGGCTCTGCGACCTGCGTGATGGCTAAAATCAATCGCGAGACTTGATTGAGAATAAGCAACAGCCGCTGCCACTAAATCTCGGATGGGTGACCACCCGGGTTCGTAGTGAGAAAAAACCTTGCCACACATATACGCGTGTTCCTAACCGACAGTACCAACCATCCCAACTATATTGTACCAGCCCTACCAACCTTACAGACTAAGTTGTTGAGGCCTTAAACCTAATCAAAAAAAAAATGTCATGTACATATGTATAGATATATATATATTAATTGTACTTAAAAGTAAAATTCACTTTGCAGCGTTTGGATAAGAGTATATTTATTAGGTATAAGACGTTGGCTGGTTTGCGATAAATAAATAAAATCATCCTAAATACACAATATACAGGATGATTCACCAACCAAGATCACTCCCTTCTTTTAAATAATTGCAGTTACTTAAAATCTTATTTTTGGAATTTTCAATCATATTTTCAAATCCTTGAGATTTTATTGTACATAAGGAATGTTCTGTGGCAATACAAATTTCTGTTTTTCAAATGAGGAACCCGTTTTTTACTGTAAATTATATAGCAGATAATTTTACTGTAAATGTAGACGGTTTTACGGGGTGCCACCATTGAGTGACTTCCCCCTCCCGTTAATCATCCCCATCACATTTACTTATTGTAAAATTATAAAATAATGTAATATTGGATCTAGTATATACTTATTATACTTGAACTGTTTTTACAAATAACAAACGTTGATAAATTAATATTAATTACTAAAATATTGAAATCACCGTAGGCTCCATATATTCCAAACTCATTATCATGGTGCTATTATCCTTCTTACACAAAAGTTAAATATCTCAAAAAATCTTCGAATTTTGATTTTTTTTTCGTCAATATTTCTAGAAAAAATATCCTCTAACTATTCACAGTAAAAAGGGGATTCTCATTTTATAAACAGAAACTTGTAGCCACCACAGGACCCACTTTAAGTGGTACAAAAAATGTCGAAGAATTGTAAGTTGAAAATATATAACCTTTATTAGTCTTAACGTTTGTTTAAAAAATCTATACCTAAATCAGATTTCGAATAAGTGGAATAACTATATACATTACTCAAGAAAAAACAGGGATGAGCACTGAGCATGGTTGGAGAAACAATCCCGTTTAAATTGTTTATACATATTTACTATACATTTATATTACAATAATACACACCATTTAATCCTTCTCTTTCTCATTTATCATACCTGTATTGGTTTTTGCCGCCTGATTGGCCGGTTTCCAACAAGGCCGACGGCCCCCACGGGTTGTTCGTGTAGCTGACGTAGATTTCTATGGGCACTGAGGTGCCGTTTTTGTGGTATATTTTTCGAGCCAAAGTATTAATGTCTGTAAAAAAAAAAAGAAAACTATAATAATATATATAGATAACACGATTCATGTTCTTATATACACTTGTGTGTGTGTGTGTGTGTGTGTGTGTGTGTGTGTGTGTGTGTGTGTGTCCATACAATCTCGGGGAAAATTTCCGCGATTAAAGCATTATACGATTTATTGAACGTTATACTGATGGGAACGAGGAGGAGGGCACGTCTGCAGATCTGATTGATTGATTGATGATGATGTGTGTGTACCTATATCATTTTCCGGTGAATACCCCCATATGCGGGCAACGACGAAGTTACAAGCGATATTGGAAAAATCGGAAAACCGCCAAAGATGGAACTACAAGATTCATTTTTAATTCCCTGTAAAACCGATATTTGCTTTACCGGGCATTATTTATAAATAATATATGTATTGTATATAATATTATGACAACGGCCTAGGGTTAAAATACGCTTTAGTATAAGCAAATTAAGCAAATGTACTATTACAAAAATCAATCATACGAATTTTACAGACGGTTTTAACTTTTAATACATGTAACTGCTGCACATAGTGTGATAACACAATCTAAACCCTAATATATTTATATACATTTTATATCTAATTTTAATTTAAAATTATGTTTTAACATAGTTATGTTTTTGGACTGGGTAAGTACAACCTTTTTCCATCCGATTTTCTCAAGGCCGATTTTCGTAACGATAGAATTATAGAAACGCGAATCAACAATAAAAACAAAATAAAACTTAAATGAATTCCTTACAAGATGTAGCATGCTATTTTTCCACTGCCCAAAAACATATCTAAGATCCTTGCAGAGGAAAAATATTTAGTAGAATACTATGCTACTTAGAATGTGTACTTATACGAATGCCATTAATACTACCTGTACGTTACACCATTGTAGTAAAAGTGTTTTACATCTTAGTATTTTTTTTATTTTTTTTTTTGTTATGGAAAATGGAAAAAATTTACTATCTTAATTTTATATACAATTTATTGAGACGTATTCTAAAAAAAATAACAAATGGCTTGATAGAAGGTATAGCGTCCAGTTACAGTCTTACACAATACTTAAAGGAATAGTTTTTACATACTTTTATTTAAAAAAAACTTTACAAAATTGAAAGGTGACCGTATTGTAAAACATATTTCAATATTTGTATGCAATAATAGATATAATAAGATGCGTCGTATACCGTGTGATTAATTAAACGTAAGACTCATCAGTATTACAAAAACTATTAACATTTTTGAAAATATTTTCTTACATCATTTTAAGTCGCTAAAAAAATAACATTTTTCCAACAAAATTATTAAAAAAATAATATTTTTTTGGAATACTTCAATACATATAAATTGAATTTTGGACGAGTACCTAGTTTATAGTTATTAGTTTCCTATATTTAAAATTTTGATGAGAGTGGACTTGTACTCTGCTCTGCTAAACTTTAAATAACTAATAAACTTTTTGTCTGAAACATGATTTTTAATTTTTATGGATCAAAATACTCTGAATATCATTTTTTTCTTACTTATGTATATTGAGATAAACCATAAGTATACAGAAAATGCATACCAAAAAAAGAAACATTTAAGGAAGAAGCCGGTATTAGTTACACTTTTTTTTTTTTTTATTGATCATGATTCATGAAGTCCGGCCACTATAGCTATTAGCTGTTTTGTTATTGTTTGTAGGGGAGGAATTGTAGGTTGGTAAACACGTGTGTTTTGGTTTTAGCAGAATTTTCAAGTGGGCACCCTTAGGATGCCAAACTCGGGTGGCCGGCACTCCTCTCCACGTCGCAACCGACGGCTTAATCCGCTCGGTCACTCCGTCCCCCTTACAGTGACACTTTGATTCTTCCGGAATATGAAATAAAAAATGTTCTATGTTATCATTCAAAAGTGTAAAACGTTTAAAAAATTATACTGGTTAAAAATTAAAAAATATAATTTTTTTCCATAAATGTTGTTTTTTAGTAACTTAATTATTATATGTAACATCAATATTTTCAAGAACGTTTGCGTTTTCTGAAATAATGTGACTTACGTTAAATGGATCACTCCGTATAGGTATAGTCACAATACAATGATTGTAATTTATAATAATACTATAATAGTCTGTAAATTGTAATACATTGCATCTATAAGTCGTAGACGATGCTGCTAACGTATGAGACAGTCGATCCTTTGACACAATCACGAATATTTACCTCATAATATACTCATATATATACAGGGTGATTCTTTTATCATTGAACACTCATTATTTCAAAAAGTATTAATGTTTAAGAAAATATTTTTTTACATAGTTTCAAGTTGTTAAAAAACAATATTTTTATTTAAACATTAATACTTTTTGAAATAATGAGTGTTCAATGATAAAAGAATCACCCTGTATATACAATATACATAATAATACATATATCGATGGGTACGTATGCACCCAACATGACCTAACCTATAGGCAGTGCTCAGCCTCATCTAACTGTTGTAAAGAAAAAGAAGGTATATACTATAATTATAGTTATTTCCATAATCGACTTTAAGAATATTAAATTCAATAATATATAATATATTTTATAATAGAAAAGCTTTTTGATATCATATAATATTATTATCATGACAAAATGAATTTCTTTTGTCATGTATACTAATTAAATATTATCAGTTAATATACAAAACAGTTACTATCATACTACATAATAATATTTATACATACTTCGACACTTATCAAAAATCACGACGATAGAACGATCTCGACGAAAGCCGAAGAGTGCCGAGAGGCTAGTAATATTCAGCCTCAGACGAGTCGGACGGCCGTACGATTATAAAAATATATATCATGATAGTGGGGGAAGTCGGAATATTATTATTAAATGAGGCTGAACCACGGACGTATATACGTATATACGTATATACGTCCGTGGTGTATACCTATTACCTACTTATAATACTTTTATCACAAACTAAAGATATTATCGGTTCTTATCGAACAAATAACAATGAACATATCATAATTTAATTATTATTCAATTTTAAATTTTGTTCTTGTACTAAGGCTCTAATATAAGTTTTTAAATAGCCCTACTTCATACTTGTACTTTAGTAGAACCATGGTAGTATTCAACTGATTAACAATTTATTGTATATTTGACTCACTCCTCATACGGTTCACGAGCCGCCACTGCCTATAGGCATTATCCTTTGACGTTTATAATATTATACTTCGTAGATAAAGGTGTGATATAGCTTTTATTGATGATGGACGAGCAGCCATATTTAATTAGATTGTAAAACAACCACTTGTAAATGTAAAATAATAGAGTTTTATATATTAATAAACATCCCATTGACAAATACACAATAGTTAATAGGCAAAATGATATGCATTATGAGCAGGCTCGTCCCTGGGCGACCCCCCCTCGTAAGTTGTGAGATGTTCCGTTTTTGTTAATTATTGTTAAAAGTGGTATTCAAGACTAAAATGTTTGACCCCTCCCCCTTCCCTCCCACCATGGAATTGACCTGAACTCTGAAGACACCCCTGGTTATGCGTAGGATATATAAATCATTTGTACCTACTAATTACGATATATTATACAGTTAAAGTTAGTACAACACATGCGTAATAACTAATATGCGTAACTGTCATAAAGTATAAATGTGTTAAAAATAAATCCACTGCAGGAGACTTTGGGCACCGAATTTTTTATAACTTACCAGTATCGTTCATAAAGTAATCATTTATAGTTGTATCGTGTTCATGAGTTTACACCATGTCTTATATTATATTTTGTATCCATTAACTGTTTTTTATTTTTTTTTTATTAATATAAGCAATGGCTGTAAAAAAGTAGATCAAGCCAGAAGAAGAAGGAGAAGATTATAAACGATTGATATTAATACTTACATGTAATTTGTAATAACAATACTAACTATCTTATTCGTAAATAATTCGACTAAAAGTATATATAAATGCATTATGTAGAATATAATTATTGTAGATTATGCTTATCCGAAAATTATTATCACCAGCTTCAGATTTCTATTTCTACTTTCGGAATAATCGAAATTATTGTTAATTTCACTGTGCCAAAACGATGGAGTAAAAAATATATCAACTTAGCTGCGATTAGATATTGTTTACAATAATAATTATATAATATAGTTTTTTACTTTTTTGTATTCAGTCTCTGGTAATAATAGTCATTTCGACCCGTAAACGATGACAATGCCTTCAATTTCTTTTCTAAACGGCGTTTATATTATCCCTATAATATAGCCTATATAGTATATACTGACATACCTAATATCTTATCATATTTATGTTATTTTCGTGACTTATTTGTCTAAATTTCTTCCACTCCTCGAGCAATTGAATACAAAATGACTTATTCGAATATAAAACTATAAATCGATCGAAGGCCGCCGACCTGACCTCGCACAATTAAAAATATGTATTAAGGAAGTACGCTTTGACTCACAAAACGATTGAAGGGTACACCGTCTCGGGTCTCCCCCATGATCATGCAAGCATAGGTACCTATACATAGAAAGACCGTAGAAAAATAGATACGCAGATACGTCACACTCACCATATTATAATATAGTGTCGAGTCCGTTTCGGTGCAGCAAACTAAATTTTCGGACTGTTATCATAACATATATAATAATATATAGGTGGTAGGTACACCTGCACATTTTCATATTGCATCACATCGCGGACGGTGCACCGTGTTCGGTGTAACAAGATTTTCTTTTATATACTATAAATTACAATAATAATATATTATGTAGTTTTCGTTTTTATAGAACAAGGTCTCTTCAATCGATAAATATATTATTACGTCCACAATATATCATGTGCTGGTGCAGCAGTTTCCCATTACAATAATGAATAATTGTATGCAAAGTGTACGCCGAAAATCCGCGTGGCCAAGACGATAATTAACCAATTCACACAATAGTTGAGTGTCGGGTAATCAGTTAAAAAA